GAAAATAGAGCAACAAATCCACATCAAATTTTGCATTAAGCTTGAACATTCCTCCATGAAAACTATTTGGATGATTCAGAAGGCCATGGCTATTGATAACTGGTGATTGGCAACTTCATCACAACAGTGCACCCACTCATGTGTCACATCTTGTGCAGAGGTTTTTGGTGAAACATCAAACTGCCCTGGTGACTCAGCCCCTCTACAGCCCAGATTTGGTGCCCTGTGACTTCTAGCTTTTCCATTATACATTAAAATCACCTTTGAAAGGGAAGAAATTTCAGTCCATCGATAAGATTCAGGAACATACGATGGGGCAGCTAATGGCAATTGGGAGAACTGTGTGAGGTCCCAAGGTGCCCACTTTGAAGGGGACTGAGGTGTCATTGTCCTGTGTGCCATGTGTCTTCAATAACTGTCTCTGTCTTTTATAGTACATGGCTGGATACTACACACCTTGCCTGAAGTTCAGTAAAGCTTTCAATCTCCAAGCCCAGGTCTTTTGGTTAAATGAAATATTCTTCTGTTTTCCACTTCCATCGGTTTCTTTTTAACCTGTTCTTCAAGTGTCTTATTACTTCCTGCATGATTTCCATCATTTTGTATTTTTGTTCATTCCTCTGAGATACTTCTACCAGTTGGTCTTCCAGGCCACTAATTTAGTTTTCAACAGGGATATAGTTACCTTCTAAATTGTTTAATACAGTCACTACTAAATTTAAAATTTTTTAATTATGTTTTTTGTTCCAGAACATCCTTTTAATGTCATAAGTGAATCTCCATTAGTGTTTTAATTATTTGTTGTTATTGTTGTTGCTAAAATTATATACTTCCCTCAGCAGTTTTATTTCACTGTGAGCTGTCCTAAATATTAGGCTTATTATGCCACCCACTATCTAAAACTGCCGATATTTTTCTTGCCTACTGAGAGTTCCATTTCCCTCCGCCCTCAGAAAGCTAGCTACTAAATCGTTAAAACATTTTAAAATATGAGGTCTTTTAAAACATGAGTATTATTGTCATTAATTTTATTCTTAAATATTAACTGATCTTAGATATAAGAAGTAATATCATATACAAGTACATAAAGTCATATTGTATGAGCTCACATTATATTACATAAAATCAGATTATAATGTTTTATAGTTTTATTCTCCTACCTTTGAGGAGATTATATGCTATGATCTCTTTATTTAACAAAACTGAAAAAATCATGAATTGTTTATATTCTACTATAATATCCATGATTTATAATTCTTATTACCTCTTTCTCTTATCATTATTCAGTATAATCTCTTAGTCTTAGAAAGCAAACTCAGTTTTTATTTCTTAAAAGTAAGAAAGTGGGGGAGAGGAAATATAAATACAAGAAAATATTAGTGTTTGTCAAATCTGAGAGAAGGATACATGGGTGTTTATTATACTATTATGTTGGAAATATTTCACTATTTAAAATATAATATGAATCACAAAAAGAGCAAATTTGCGACTTGTAAACAATCCCTAAAGTTATATTTCATAAAAATGTTTAGTTTTCATCCAAATATAGGAATCATAGTCATGTTTGTTTCATTCCTCAGAACTGTGCCAATATGTCCACATATTCACTCTCCTGGTCACCCAGACAGATCCCTACCTGCGGCCTTAGCACCTCTGTTTGATGCTTTTGAACAAGTGTTCATTATCATGAGAATTTTCCCTGTATGACATGTCATATTTCTGAAAAAACTAGACAATCACTCTGATTAGGTAGTGGGATGGAACAAACACTTAAGGAAGAGCCAGAGCTCCTAGTCCTAGCTCCACCACTTACTACTCTACCTGCCTTTAATTTACTACTTTACTTCTCTGAATATCACTTTCCTTTTCTGTAAATGGGCATAGTAATAGCTGTTCAGTCTACCTCTCAGGTTGTGAAAGAACAAGTGCAATTCTAATGGCAGCATGAATGAAATTTACAGTACATCCTCTGACTACTGTCATATATTGGTAGCTGTGCCTTTCCTGAGCCAAAATCTCTGACTAGATCTCAGAGGGCAGAACCATGCAACAGAGTAGAGTCAAAGAGAGGGCAAGGGAGACAGAAGGATAGGACCCACGAATGTGCCCAGCTGTGATACTGAACATAATGACCCTTAAAGACCTTTCCAACTTTGATATTCAATGATTTTGTGAACCCAGCAGCCACAGAGTAGAAAACAGCATTGAGCATATTCTTTGAAACTTGAGAAGTCACAATAAGGATTTAGTATTAAATCTCTTTTAGTTATTTCTACAAATTAGAAAATTTTATGTGCAGAGTTAATGACTCTGCAGTTTTAAAAAAAACAGGAAAAATATATGTCCCAGATAATATGAAAGCAATGAATAAGGAAACAAATCTCTGAAAAGTATGTTTTCATACTCAGCTAACCTGTTGCAAGACCTTTATCCACCTACAAAGATTAATAACATGATGATATGTATGTCACTGCTGCTTTGTGGAGTCAGCATGTTATCAATTCTATAATAAGACTGGTGAAATTAGCTAATGTTTATACCAACACAAATTTGTATTTTGTTGATAGTATCCATTGTTTACTCACCTGAACCACATTCCACATCCTGTGTTTGTAATGTTTTTCCCATTTACTCCATAGATATGCCATTTGGTTCAGCTTAATGATAATGAAATCCAGCAAGGAATACAGTGGACAGGAACCCATCACATGCATAGCTTATGGTATTTCAACAGAAAAGAATAAACTGGTATCTTTTTAAAGTTTTTTTTATTTTTACACATAGATCTTACCTTTGTTGAATAGCGGGGTACTTTTTTGGCTGCCTAAGCCATTTACTGGATGACTCTTTTTGAAGAGTCCTTATGTCGGTAGGTTGAACTTCATGAAGGCCATTTTTCAAACCTTTACTTTTATCTCTCCTCCTTGGATCTCACTCTTCAGAGCCGAGCAACCCCCACTACGCACATGGACAGGCACTGGCTTAAGGAGAAGGAGGACCGAGGCTTTACGCATATAGCTGTGCGAATGCATTTGAGGCCCAGCTTCAGATTTCCTTCTGTGTTAATCACAGACATTCTCCTGAGTAAAAACTGCCAAGCATGCTAGCATTGAACTTTGCTAGGTTGTTAAGTATGTTTTTACGATAAGTGTCTGTCAATACCACAGCAATAACAACTACCTTTCTTAAAACTTAGTTTGTATCCATAAACTTTTATATGTACTATGTCACTTAATCTTCATAACAACCCTATGTTATCCCTACTTTATAGATGGAAAACTAAGACAGAGAAGCTAAGTAACTTGTCCAAAGTTCTACATCTAGCAAATAGTAACACCAGGATTTAAACTTGGCAGCCTGCCTGAGTTCACACTCTTAATCTCTGCACTAAGTCACCTCCCAACTTGCTTATCTCTTGTAGAGCCTGTGAAGTGTAGCCTCTCGGGTAAATCTCAGGCTTCTCTCTTTACCTGTGGCCCCCTTTGTATAAAATTAAGTGATGTCCTGGTTACGATTTTTTTCTTCTTCTTCTTCTGCTCCTCCTCCTCTTCCTTCTGCTTGAACAAACTTCATTACCATGAAAGATTTCAGAAAACATATGCTACCTCATTGAGATATTTGATACCAAGTTAACAAAAGCCTACTGAAGCTAGCTTAAGCTAAGAAGGGATTTATGGAAAGATGTAGTCCTATCTCATGGAACCCAAGAGCAAAAATAGGCCTCAAAAGGGACTAAAAGCAAGAACTAAAAAAAAATCAGAAGCTAGGATTTCTCTCTTTTTAGATGTATATGTTGCATGTCCAAGGGGAAAGAAGGGTAACACCCACAGAGTAAGAAGTTTTCAGAAAACAAAGGTGTAATTTGGACGAATATTCCTCAAAAGGCTCCTTTTCTGTATTCCATCACTTGAAGGAAAATGCAGGTGCAGTGCACATTGCCCAGCTGCCTGTGTGGAGTAAAGACACTAACTAAACATTCTTTTTCAGCTGCTGCCTTCCTGTCCCTCCATAAGCCCCAACACCTGGCATTTTATTCTGTTCCCATTTGATTAATCTCAAGTTAGGCCTTTGCAACCCTCCAACATCCGAATGAAAAGACCCTTGATTTCACTCCATCTTTTCATCCCAGGCCTCTGACCTGTGCAACCGAAGGAGCCAGTGCACTTGTCTTATTAGTCAACTATCAGGAATCTGCCTATTTCAGTCCCTCATATTCATCCTGTCCTTTTACCCTCTCAGAATGTTTCATATGGTCTCTGCTTTTCTTGTTCTTTTTTTCTATCCCTTTTTCCCCTAGGAAATACCTACTGGCTCCTCTTTTTTTTTTTTTTACTGGACCCCTGCACCCTTTTCCCATTAGATAAGTCCAAATTCTTGAGCTTGAGGGCCCTGCAAAATCTTATCATAAGATTACCCCCACCTACCCCATCATTTCAATTCAAGTCCTTCATTCTACACAATTTATTTTCCCCACTGATCTAGGGACGCCAGGGCTTCACCACAGGCCAATCGTCTTCCCCATACCCTTCCACCTATAAAAATCCAGCCCATTTTTCAAAACCGAACTAACTTAAGTCATATTCCCCATCAACAGTCTTGTGTGATCTCTCCAACAGTAGGGTAAACAACTGTCCTGTCTGCCTGGGATTTCTTAAGACATGTGACTTTCAATATAAAATTTGGGATATGTCTAGGCAACTGGGGATACCAACACCTCATGTTTTCATTTATTATGTTGCTTGTTAAATAGTGGGGGTTGGGTGGGGGGGATGCCTGTGAAAGTACCAGTAGCCACTGCCTTCCGTACTCACGATTTTTTCTCCACAGTAAGAATTATGCTGCTGTTGGACAGAGACCCTTTGATTCCTACTTCATACAGAATATGCAGCTGTGCTCAGATTAATGCCTACTCAATGAAAAATGTAGTTTAGTTTTAAGTAGGCATCATGTCTGAAATATTTTTCTCGTGTCTTAATATATTCATCTTTATTTTTTTCCAGCCCAGATGACTTACTCAACGCCTTGAATGAGGGTATCAGTCGCGCTGATGTCATCATCACATCAGGGGGTGTATCCATGGGGGAAAAGGTATGAGAAATGGGTCTCATGGAACTTTATCCACTGTAATATCCTTACATGTAGTATACTAACTGTACATGATCTGGTAAATATCTGGTACATAATCGGACTCCTACAAAGCTAAAAATCCATGGGGCTTCAGAAATTTCTGGGCATTCTAAAAGGGAAGTGATATAGATCAGAGAGCTTACTTCAGGAGCCGCATAGAGAATCCCACAATGCACATAATGGTTTTTATCCACCCTGGAGACTTCTGGCTTTTTGTTCACTCAACTTTAGTGCATTAGGACTTCCTTTATATGTAATATTTACCCCTAAGTTAAAGCTCCAAGATCCTTCCTTCTACTTAAATTTATGTTAAAGATGACCTCCCCCACCACATACTGTAAATGTGGTAAAGAATCCTTAGTTCCTCACAGAGAAGAAAGGAAAGATTACGTAGTCCCTTGCCCCTCTTGACAAATAATAATAATCATAATAATAGTGAATATAAAATACAAGCATAGATAGAAACATATAGGCTTTTAAAAGACAGTATATTTGCATATGGTATATGCTTAGTCTTATAAAATTACAATTTGAATATTTGAATATCTCAGCATCAAGTTTATGTATCTTATTGAAATGTGTTAGTTCATGATGTTTATTGTGTCCATTGAATAATGTCATGAAAGTGAAATATTCTTTATTATAATAACCAGCTTTGTTTTGGTACATTAACATTTCAGATTACAAAATACTTTGCCATCCTCTAATCCCTTTCCATGTTTCTTTTTATCTCATATTAATGACTGAACTGAAAATTTTGAAAAGATTTTCATAATAGCTTTTACTAAAATTTGTATTTTTTAGGAGTTTGATTTTTCTTTAGCTAAATCTTACATACATATGAGTGTTATTGGTGTCTGCATTCACTAGCTATAAAACTGCCTCAGGTCATCACCTGGCTCTTTGCACTGTGAACTCTATCGGCTCTGGGAACAAATGTCAGAATCAGTAACCTGAACAGAGAATGCCTGCCTTCCATTCACAACTTTAGTTTTAGAATATTTAAGGATAGCACTTCAGATGCCAAAACCATAAAAGAAAAAGAATCTCAGTCCAAGAGTACCATCTCAAATTACACCGAAGAGTAAAGCTGTTAAAGTTTAGGTAGGAAGTTTCCTTATCGCAGTTTGCTGGGTTAGTCTTCCCTCAAGTCTCCTAGAAGTTTTTGGTTTTAGGTAGAGTGGATTGCTGTGGACTCCCTGAGGTTACAAAGGCTAAGGGCTGAAGTCTGTATTGCAGTAGATCTGTAAGAAATTATTTGTAAAATGTCTGTTTTTACTATCATCAAACTGCCCATGGTATTCTAGTACCACAAGAGCAATCCTGAAGTTGAGTACTTAAATGTTAAATTTGTTATTCCCAGGAAGTGTGTCATGTATAAATTATCTTAGTTACTAATGAACTTAATTATAGGACAATACCTATCCATTAGACCTAGCGTTTGTCTTTCCTAGTACTTCCAAAGAGGCAACAAGCGTATAACTAACAAAAGATGTCATTCATCCTAGAAATTTGCTCACAAGTAAACAGAGCCAATACAGTAATGCACATTGGTTTTCTTTACCAAAGGGCCCCTGATGCTTTTGGAACCCACAGATCTCCACAAAGAAAAATGACCCTTTCACAGTTGCTTCTCTCAGAATCTCTCCCCACCTCTACCCCACCCTGCTCCACATAGACTTTTCAAAGAGTTTTTATTTTTACAAAACACCCAAATTTTTAGGTAAACAGGATCTGATTTTTGCCCTGAAAACTAAAGAATTATATTTATTACTATATAACCTGCAAAATTATAAAATAGCTCACTAACAATGAATGGTGCAGATAACCAAGAAAGATAACACTCAGACTGCCTACTTAAGAGCTTCTTAGTTTTTCCTGAGTGTCTCCTTTACCTCATATGATCCAAATAATCACAAAGATTATTACTGATCACAAAAAAGGCTAGTCTCATAGGCTTCCCTGATTAGTTAACAGCAAGCGTTCTAATTAACCATATAGGCCTTCTCAAGTGTGTTTTGCAAATTTAGAGTTATACAGCAATAGAATATTAAAACTAATCAATAATACTTCAAACAAATAAATACAATAAAATTTTTCTTATCATTTCATTCAGCCCTGTGTCATTCTTGATCTGCTAGATCTTGGGTTAGTAGTCTGCTTTCATGAACCCCCCTGCTTCCACTCTAAAGAGTCCTGGGATTCCTGGCTCAGTCCACTGGCACCGAATAAAATTTATCTAAGCTACATCACCTCAGAAACCTGTTCCAAGAGACTGTTCTTCGAAGTGCCCATATTTTAAAGTACCTATGACAGTCCTTCTCCCTAGTGCTCTGAATCTGCCTTTTTTGCAGATACAAGCTATTCACTGTAGCTTGTAGCTGAGCTATCTGCAAGCATCAGAATAAAACAAAAACTTTCCATGAATGACAGATACTTATGCCTGTACATGTTTTGTTGTTGTTGCTGTAGTCTATAATATCAAAATAGACGATAAGTAAAATTTTCTGGTGAGATACAGAAATCTACCTATTTCATAAAAGTTTTTATCAGTGTTTTCCCTGAGGGTGAATACATAATGGACAGCAAGGGCATTGTCAAATCTCCAGGCATTTCCCGTAAAGCATACAATTTCCGAAGCAGTTTTATTACTAACATTTTACCTATACAAATCTTCACCTTAAGGCAGCCTCTCTTCTCAGATATGTCAGCAACTCTCCTCCCATGAAACTCTTAAAATGGTAACATGTCAATCAAACCTATTTTTAACATTTTTAATAAGATGAAAGAACAAATCATTTTGATTTCCTAGAGACCCTCTAGGAAATTTCAAAGATAGTTTCAGGTGTAAAAGATAGTCTAAAATTTATTTTTTGTTCTAAATTTTGGTCTGATCTTTAGAAGGAAAAATCAAAAGAGTTGTCAGAAAGAATTAGTTGGGTATCTAATTGACATCAGATCATGGGTATCTGAGAAATAGTAGTTAGTTACCTAGTTTTCAAACAATAAAAGGTATTGGAAAATAAGCATACAATGTAACGTTACTGTAAAATAACCTTGTATTGTTCATAAATGAGTGCATTTAGTTCTTTGCTTTTTTTATTGCCTTAATCAAAGGCAAAATAAAGTAAACAATATACACAAAAAAGTAGATTACACAAAAAGAATAAACTTTCATATTGAACAGAAGGCATTAATATCAGTAGTAAACCAAAGAAATAAGCCCATCAAACCTGAGTGAGCTTACTATAATTCTGATATATTTCCCAGCTTTGTTTCAGACATAGGTTGTAAACCAAGGCAAATCAGTCTCAAAGTTTTGTCCTTTATTATATACTCTTATCTTTTTTAACAAACTTGCTCTTTGCTTTAGAACGGAGTGGTCCTCAGACCTACCAGGGTCCCTGAAATCTGATAAGTGAGTGATTTTCAACCTTCTTCATTTCATGGCACACATAAACTAATTACTAAAATTCTACAGCACACCAAAAATTACATTTTTGCTGATCTGACAGAAATATAGGTATAATTTTTATTCATCACACCAAATGGCTATTGTTGTGTTGGCTGCTGTCATTTTTTACTTGACAATCTAAGGGAAATGTGATCAGTGCCCCTGACTAAATAGTCAGTATTCATGTTTTAAAAATTCTTGTTACACACCAGTGTACCCTGGCACACTGGTTGAAAATCACTGCTTTAAGTGGGTCACAACTATTTTCATAATAAAACTAAGACTTTATATGGCCTTTTTGTTCTCCTTCTCTTGTGAGTATACAGTGAATTTTTGCAGTGGCCATATGATGTGTGGTAGCTCATCAAAATGAATGCAGAAGCAAATAAGAGAATACAACTGACTCCCGTTAACTTAAATATTAAAGAGATTTTCAAAATTATACAACAATGTATAAAAAATAAGGTGCTTACATTAACATGAAATGGCTTCACCATTGCTATTTCTATAATAAATTAACCCACCATAAGTATTTTTTTAATTTCTTAGTTTTAGTTTCTAATACAGTAGATATAACCCACATGAACAAAAGTAGGGATTTTTAATAAATTTTAATTTACAAGTATGTAAAGAATCCAAAAAAAAAGTATGTAAAGAATCCTAAGAACAAATACTTTGATAACTGGATTTTTTAGCAGTATTATTTTTTCTTGAAAAATGGAAGAACACACATAATTATACTTTTTGTTATTATTGCTCATAGCATAATTACAGTCACACATTATTTATTATAATGTTTAAGGAAAATCTACTTTCTACTTCACAGCAAAAACTGGAGATTCAGGTCATTGAGAAATCATGTACAAGCAGTTTAGCAGACTAGCAGGTTCATAATCACACAGAATACAACTCTCTACAGCCACATACATTCCTTTTGCACCTTAATGTAGCAAAGATGAAAGAGACATTCACGACCCAAAGATACAGCCTGTCTATAGCATATTTTTTAAAAAGCAAAATATATTAACTAAAAAACAAAAGTGTTAACTTAAAACCATAATTAGTAACCAGTGATCCAGTGTGCTAGCTTACTTAGAAATAATCAAGATATATATGATGATTATTTATTAATTAACTTAAAATCAATTCAAGATGTTAAGTAATTTTTAAGATGACATACAACAAACATAATTACTTTTGAACTTAAAAGTTTATCATACCCAGCCTGGCTGGTGTAGCTCAGTGAATTGAGTGCAGCCCTGGGAACCAAAGGGCCACCTGTTCGATTCCCAGTCAGGGTCACCTGTTCAATTCTGGTTGCGTCCCCAGTTGGGGGCGCACGAGAGGCAACGAAATATTAATGTTTTTTCTCCCTCTCTTTTTCCTTCCCTTCCCCTCTCTCTAAAAATAAATAAATTAAAGCTTTCCCAAAAAAAGTTTATCATACCCAAAGCAATCTATGCATTCAATGCAATCCCTATCAAAATTCCAATGGTATACTTCACAG